ATACAACAAAAACGGTTCTAACTTATTCTTTAAAAAAACAAAAATATAAAGATAAAAAGTAATCCACGATGGTAATTTTAAACTTTGTCTATTCTCTGTTTTTTTGTTTTTTTTTTTTTTTTTTTTTTTACTTTGGCAGTCATGGAGAAAGACCTGAATAATCAAACTAAAACAACTTCTGGCCGGAGTCCCACCACCAGAAGTAAGAGAACGGGAAGACCAGGGAGAATTTTTCACTTTTGAATTTTATCAAATTCTCTCTAGCAAAGGTTTTTCGATGACAGAGCCTCCACCCTAATAGCAGACAGTAGAATGGTATTTTTACAAATCTGAAAAAACTGTGAGAGAATCTAACTACTAGATCTAGAAGAATGTAAAGAATATGCGAATAATTTTTTAAACGATGATCATGACAGCAAGGATGATGGTGGTGGTACCATCATGGTGACAACCAGTATTATTGCTGGCGGTGGAGAATGAGCTTAGAAGTAAATGAGAGAAGCCCTTCCTTCCAAACTGTTTATGTTTTAAAGGTAAATTATATTTTCCTCATTGCTTCAGTCCCACGCTTGGAGTCATGCTTGAAGATGTGAGTCCTAGTCTTGTGGTCATAGTCACCAAATTTTACTATCTTCAACAAACCTAAACCACTGTGCTGTTGTGTTGTCTCAAGCTCATCCACACACATAGCAGCAAAAAATAAGGGAAATAAATAAATTTACTGGGAATGCCAGTAGCAGATCTATCTTGGTTTAAAAGAGAGCCAGAGTAGATAGGCTCTGTTCAAAGTTGCACTGAATAAATAAAAACAGCCTAATTTAACTCTTTCAAAGAAATTATGTATTTATCACTGTTCAGGATGAACAAATCAGATGACACCAACAAAGTACACAGCAAGACAAGCACCAATTACATGAATTTTCATCCCTGAATGAGACATTATTAAATGACCAGAGTTTTTTTTTTTTTTTTTTTTTTTGGACTATATACACAGGTACTCTTTAGACTTGGTTTACAGGTAGTATTTTGAATTGTAAGCAAAATTCAGCACTGGACACAGTGTTACTACATGGTTATGTGTGCCTGACAGAAAAACAAGCTAAATCAATCAAGAATTATATAAAAAGTGTTCTCACAGAAATAAATTGTTCTCATGGTTTTTCAGTTCACAGCCTTCTAAAGAGGGATGAAAAGCCATGTACCCCCACTTGCTCGTGTAAAGTGACCAGGAAAAATGAGGCTGATTTCAGCATAAAAGGATTGTGTTAATTTTCTTACTTTTATTAAGTACCACAGACATTAATCCACTCCCAGGAAAACTACCAAGCACCAACCCATGTACACTAATGCCAGAAAAGAGCAAATGCCTACTGAGACAAAATCCTCCAAGCTTTCCTCAAGATTTTGCCAGAGTGGTCCCAATTCTCCCTGAAAACTGAATTATTAATGTTTTCCTTCTGCTCAGAGATCATGATTTCTTCTAATCACTTACAGATAGAAACAGAATTTCTAGTTTCATTTTGTCTTCTATCGCTCTGACATATTACAGACCCAGTCAAAGTTTGTCAGAGAAAGACAGCTGCCTTGTTGAAAGTGAATAAACTCTTCATTTACTTTGGGTAAATTTCCTCTTTCAACCTGACCATCTGGATCTAAATTAAGGTACCCTACTTTGAACATGGGTGTTCACCATCTGGCTACCCAAAAGCAGCAATTACTTCAGGTAAATGAACATTTTGCCTAATTCTAAGCAAGTGTATTTCCTATAAGAGACTATGACATAAATACACATCCTTTTATCTTCCTGCTGCACACTTACTTGAGGAAAAAGTGAATAAGTGATCTATCTGCCTAGTAGAGACAGCTCACTGCTTATGTGAAAACATTTCAATTTTAAGACTTATTTTCAATATTCAACAAGTGCCAAATTTTCTCTCTTAGCCAAATGAATAATAGAGAGTAGAGGACTTGCTGAAGGTTTGAGAATCTTTGGCTTCAGTGGGGAGCTTGTCTTCAAACCTTTACCCACTACAATATGGGAACCAGGAAAAGCAAGTCTTTCATCCAAGGTCAGGGTAGGGTACAGACCCTTCCAGAGGTGAAAGACACAATACAGAGCAGAAACTAATTTTCTTTCTCTCACCAAAATTCTTTGTCTCTGATCTCTGAGGAGACTAAGAATCAGAGTGATAGGATACAAATTATTTATTGTTTCCACAGAGGCTAAGTGGACTAAATTGTGTATTATACTTTTAAGTATTTCCAGTTGCTCAAGACAACCCCTTTGGCAGAGGAAGTATTTGTCTTCATTACAGAAATTATCCTATAATTAAATTGGCAAAATGATGACTAACTAAAGATCACCATATTTAATCATTAATCAGATGAAAATTCAGTGTTTGCATCTATCCTTTTTTTTTTTTTTAGTCTGTGTCCCTTTTTTTTTATCTGTGTCCTTTAAAGAACTGGGCTTGAAAATGCCAATTGGCACTGTATTTTGAGGACAAAAAATTACCATCAATACATGTCCAGCTTTGGCTGAATTCTTGATATTTGTTTGCTTAAAAATGATCCAACTAGCCACAGTAATAGAAGTTTAATATATGGAATGTTAATACATTTTTGAAATCACTCACTAGATTTATTTTGCTTAACCAGCTCCAATACAAGCAGGAATGAAATTAACAGATTTGCTCTAGTATTGAAGGAGAGGGTGGCTTTCTCTAAGATGCTATTTAGAAATGAAATCATGCTGGAATCTAGAAAACAGTGAATTCTGAGTTTCTATTGGGATGCAGAGTTTAGCCACACATGAACTTGGTTAAACTTCCACCCAAGTTATTTACATCTTCGAGGAAAACTAAAAAAGAGAGTTTAAACACAAATATGCACTAATGGCACAAGAAATCAGCTCTGGGTCAAACAGAAACATCTGTTTGTTTTAAGAATCCGCCTCTTTTGAAAGCACTGGCCAAAAGCAGATTAGTTCTGCCAAATACATTTCAGCATGTCATGGTTAAGACACAGAATTTCCAGGAGCATTTGTTTCACGGCAAGATTTATCAGTAATGATATGCAACTCCTACTATTGACATTTTGACATGACAAGCTTGTTTCTAAACCTAACATGCAAATTTGTCCTATGCCTTTCCTGCATATTTGATATAATTTTGTGCCTAAAAAACACTTCGCATCTGTGTTGTTTAAATCATGTTGGAGGAAGTGATAAAGGGGAGTTTAAAATATTCATATCTGACCTTACAAATTAGAAAGTGAATATTTTATACGTTCACTTATCAAAGGTTTCAACTATCATACAACTACTAGAGCATGAGGTATTTTGTTTATATAAAGTTACCGCATAGCACACTGTGAATAATAAAACTTTTGTGTACTTCCCTAACACATCATAATTTTCCCAGCCTCTTACAAACTAACTTCTTCAGAGCTCTTGCAAGTACCATGACTCCTGGTCCCAGACTCAGTAAACCAAAGTCCAAGTGCTAGCTCTCAGACCCCAAGCCCTCTACCTCAGGTCCCCTGGGCTCCTCTGAGCCCTACTTTCTATATTGTGAGAATCATCTGAGGAAAAAAGAGGCTCTGCTCCCCAGCTCCCCCTTACAAGTTCATGATTTCATTTTAAAGTTCACTTCGGTTGTTCATCTGTTCTCTAGTCATTTAACTAATAACTTATTTGAGATGCAAAAAGCAAGAATCAGTGCGTATTCAGCAATATATTCAAGGGTTCACCACCATCGCAGGACACTCATGGGGGCTTGGCATTTACGTGGACACTCTACCGGCCAGCCACAGGGCTAAACATTTTTCAGTGTGTTCATGCATGAAAATCTGCATCAATCCCCTAAAATGAATTTTATTATCTTTCCCAAGTTAGAATTAAAATTACAGGCTCAGAAGCCAAACTACTTTCCTTGGCAGTTTCCTTTGTGTATGTGACTTTTCTGGGTCTTTCCTTCACCACCTGTAACACAGGGAGTGCTGATAACTGCATTACCCCCATAAGGTTCTAGCAGGATGGAGTTCATAAACAATGGGTAATACGCATGTGAGGTACTCGCTGGCAGAACCGGCCACTTACACTGCACATTTTCCTCAACCCTGCACCACAGCTGGACAAACAGAAGATTTGAACCCAGTTCCACCAGTTTCAAACTCGAGGTTTTAAACAAACTGTCAAGGCCTTTCAAAACTAAAAAAAAAAATAGGATACTGCCCAAAATTCAAATCACAAAAAAGCCACACACTAACCAAGCATTTAAGACAGACTGACTGACCACTGGTTTTCCCTGCCTTCACCACGGTAATCACTGCCAGAGGCAGCAACTTAGGAACAAACCCCAGTCTTGGTAGAGCTCTCTCAAAGGCTGTGAGGTCTCTTCTACCTGGCTTTGATCATGGCCACAATCATCCCTGCCTCCCTCAACCTGTTCCTGGGTACCGCTCTTTTTGCTCCAAATTGAAACACTAGTAGTTTGGAAAAACTTTACACAGGCAGAGCTCACCTCTGCTCTACACCTGCCGGGGAATTACTAATAGGGACTGCAGCAGGTGCCTGCTTTGCCTGAAAACTGAGTTACCCTGCTGTCCCGGTCTTTGGCACTTAGACGTTTTCCCTGAACAGTAACTTGACAAGCCTTTGATGTCACTGTGGAATCACTCTGATTACAGGTTACCCTTTTAGGAAAGCCGCGCGCCCTGCTGGCTAAACAACTTTGACCAGGAGGGGGAAGGTCCTGACTTGAGGAGGGGCGACACTCATCTTTTGATACCGCTGACTCCGTGGAGTTGCAGCAGTAAAAGATCAGGCATCTGGGAGACCCTAGAAGGTTCGGAGCCACCATTGTACCTCGCCTTGGCTTCCTTCCCCCACCTCTGGCTTCTTGGGCATTGGAAGCCAGTTAAGTCCCGGAGGACCCGGCCGCCACCGGTTCGGCCGCCCGGCGGGGTGGGGCAGCGCTGGGCACCGCCTCCCTCCGTACCTTCTCTCCCCGTGGAGCACGTAGGAGCTACGGAAGAAGCCCAGAAGCTCGTTCTCTATGAGGGCGTTGTAGATGATCTTCAGGTTATAATTTCGCTGTGCGTCCAGAGTCCTGTTGAGCACTACTACCAGAACCTGGGTTTGCGGGTAGAGGAAAAAACCGGCCACTGGGACAGCCCCAGCAGCCCGGTCCTCCGCCACCTGCACTTTCTCCACCGCCACCCGGGAAGCGTGCAGCACGACGTAGCGGGTGGCGTTCCGGCACGCGATCTCCACGTTGACCTCCCCGGAGAAGGTGAAGTTCTCCATGAAGGCGGTGAGCATCAAATTGTAGTGAAGCGGCTTGAGATGGCCCGACAGGCGCAGCTGAGTCCAGGGGGGCCGCTGCTCCCGCTCCTCCTCCGACGGCGGCGGGGCGGACGGGGTTTCTGGGGTGCCCACCCCGCCCGGCTCAGGCTGCAAGGAGTCCCCGCCCGCGTGATGGTTGCGCCGAGCAGGTCCCGGGAGGCTCGCGTTGCCGCCGCCCTCTGGGAAACTCGCGGGGCGCCCGTCGGCGCCGGGCGCAGCGCTGGCCCCGCACTCGTCGAAGCGCAGGCTGAGCAGCACCGCGAGCATGGTGACCGCCAGCAGCGCCACGATGGACACGGCGAAGGCCAGCACGAGCCGCTTGTGCACCGCGATGTGGCGCTCGGTGGTGCGGGGTCGCACTCCCACCGAGTCCGCCCACGGGTCCGAGAGCCCCCTGCCGCCGGCCCGGAGCGCGGCGGCATCTTCTCCCATGGTGGCCGCCAAGGGTGAGCTGCTGGTCTGGGCCCCCTCCTCCTCCTCCTCCTCCTCCTTCTTCTCCTCCTCCTTCTTCTTCTTCTTCCTCTTCTTTTTCTTCTTCTTCTTTTTCTTCTCCTCCTCCTGCTCCCCCCGCTCGCCGTCCAGGGCCATCACGCCGCCTCCTCCTCCTCCCCCGCCCCCTCCGGCACCCCCCGCGGGCGGGCCACCCGGGCCACCGCCAGCGCAGTCATTAGAGAGCGCACGCGGGCCAAGGGCGCGCCGCGGCTGGGACCCCGGGGATGCCGGCGCCGCTTCTTTTAAGACTGGCTCAGGCCGCGGGCGGCAGCCTCGGCGCCCCCCATCGGCCCCGCCTGTCTCCCGACACCGCGGCCGGGGCGCGGGGCGCCGGGCTGGGAGACGCGCCCAACTTGGAAAGCGTCCTGCCCGCCCAGTGCGCGCCACTTGCCGGGCAGCACCCGGCGCACGCTGCCCCCTCCCCCGTGCGCCTGCGGCTGGCGGCTCTGCCCGCGCCGCGCCTGCCGGCCGGGCTTTCCGCGGGAGCTCTGCGGCCGGGCTGCGAGCCCGGGAGCGCCGGGAGAGCGCGGGTGTGGGAGGGAAGTTGGGGCTTCCGCCCGCTCCCGCCTCCTGCGCGCCGCGCGTCCTCCGGGTGGGCTGTGCTCGCAGCAGCGGTGGCGACGGCGGTAGCACGGGAGGCGCCCGAGCCGCACACCCGCAGTCGGAGAGGAGACAGGAGACGAGAAGAGAGGACAGCCGAGAGTGGTGGAGAGGACGACTGGAGTGAACCCCCGGAGGACGTCCCAGGGCCGCGGAGCTGCGCCGCCCGCCCGCCCGGAGAAGGTCCTGGAGAAGCCTGGTCCTCCACCCTCAACACTTTAAGCTGCGGTGGCGGCGAGCAGCGTGAGGTTGCAGAGCGGACGGACGGCGCGCCTGCCTCGTTCAGATGTTGCTCTGCCCTCCGGAGATGGCAAGTAGGGGAGAAGTGTCCAGCCCGGCCGTCCACTTCAGGTAGATGAAGGGCTGCTCCATATCCCCGGGGAGAGAGCCTAAGTGTCTGCGTGAGAGCGAGGTTGCGTGTGTGCGCGCCTGTGTGTGTGTGTGTGTGTGTGTGTGTGTGTGTGTACACAAGCTCCGGGTGCAGATTGCCAAAGCTACTCCAGCTGCATTCAGGGACTGAAACTCCCGGAGAAAGGCAAAGGAGAGATGGAGGGAGCGCGAGGAGGCAGGGAAGGCGGGAGGGAGGGGAGTGGTTGAGCGGCAGAGGCAGAGGCAGAGGCAGGCACTGGGAGATTAGAGAGCTTTTCTCCGCTCGGTCACACCAGACACCCACAGCCACGGAGGGGGTTGCTGAGCTGCCTGCAAGAAGTACATTGTAAATCTTCAGCGCAACAAGCCCCGCAGTCACCCCTCTTCAGACTCCTTAGCCCCACTGCGGCTCCCCAGAGGGACCATTGGAGCCTTTGGCTGTTAACCAGGAGAGCAAAGGAAGATCCTGCTGGGGGAAATGCTGCTGTGTCAGATTTCACATCAAGCTCGCCTGAGGTTTTGGAGGATTGTATGTAAATTGAACTAAATTCTCCAAAGCCTGACTTTGTATATTGCACTGTGTTGTGTGCAGGTGTGCAGTGTTAAAATAATGTCTAGCTATGAAGTGTTGGAACCCTGGAGAGAGACCCAAAGAAAGGAGACATATTTCCTCATCGGATACATTCTATTTTTGCATTGCGAAATTGATTAAAATATAATGCTTGTAGGACAAAAATAGGAAACACAGTAACAGCAAAACTGAGAAACACTAGGGAAATGAGCCCCCTTATCTTTAAACTTACTAAGACGTTGAACAAATACATTCCATGATTGGCTAGTTTTTCACTTCACCCAGCCAGGATTACTTTTTCGCAGCATTCCAGTGTTATCCTGACAATTGTTTTACACTTTGTTGGAACAGTTATCCATAAGAAGTGATAGAAGAGTCAACAAAAGAGGTTCATAGATCATTAGCTGGCTAAGGATTCTTCTGAATTTATTGGAGTTTCAAATTATAGTGAAGAGTCTATATGAGTATATGGAATATGCAACCTTCAGAATTTGTGAAGAAGTTTTATTAGCATGATACTTAGGTAACTGCCTTTAAAGTGGTATTCATCTCTAGGTTTTTAACAAAACAAAGAGTTACTAGTTTCAGAGTCAAAAAAAATTAAGTAGATAAACATAAAGTAAACAAAGTTTCTCCTTTCTACATATTCCTTTGGTGTCTTTAAATCCCAGTGGCACTTTAAAAAGAAGCCCAGCATTATTTTTCTTACAAAAAGAACTATTTAATGCTACTGGCTTTGGAGTGCTGGAAAGGGACAATGAAAATATTGTGTTTGGCTTTAAAAGTGTGGCTGAGGAGGAGAAAGCAAATGTACATCAACTTAGTCTGATAACCAGGGAAAACACAGCCCTGCTTTGGGAAGTACTGGGCCCTGTATTTCCAGATTAGATACATGTTCATACGTCCTAGATGTCCATTTGAATCACTCTTAAGTGCTGATGAATACCAGTGCCAGGGTGGGTTTTGTAAGCATGTTGTATGTGGGCCGTTAGCACAGACCAAGGGAAATGCCACATTCTGTTCAAGTTACTTTTTTCTGCTCAGTTTTAAATGCCTGTGCTCTTGCTGTCCATATGTATCTGCCTATACATTTTAAGAGTTGAGTTGGCTTCATTAGATTGTTTTCACAGAATTACATAATCTTCCACAGGTCACCAGACTTTTCAGACTTCAGAGATCTAATCTGGTTGTTCAGGATTACTGACCTAAGTACCCTGGATTTAGCACCATAGAGGGGCAGAGCATTCTGGAACCACACCTGTGAATCTGAGAACCTCTGCCTAAATGAAGATGTTGCCCACTAAGTGATCTTTAAGACTTCTTTAAGTGATATTTGTCAAGAAAGTTTCAAAGAAAGCTTTTTTTCTGCTCTTTACATCTTATAAATGTGTTTATGTACTACTGGAAATTACTGCAAATCAACTCTCAAATTATTTTAGAATTAAATAATGCATTTACCAATTAGTAAAGTCTCTAATGACTAATTAAATTAGTAAATGGGTTACTTTCCAGTACCCAGCTGAAACAGACACAAGTTTATTAACATGAAGTGACCACAGCTTATTAGCTCATTAATTCCCCTTAAATGTAACTTACCCAATAAACTCAGTATCAAAGTCAAGTAAGTACTTCTCCCTTCCTACTTGTGTTACAATGGTCCCAGTGATTTTTCTTTTTGAAAGTATGTAGTACCCTTCCCCTAAGTGTAAGCAGCTAATGAAATAAATTTTTAATATTATTTTCCTAGAAAATGTTCTTTCCACTTTCAAATGAAAAAAGGTAAAATTTCAGATTATGTATCTTAACAAAAACATTAAAGAAATTATTCATTTATATTTCATTTTAAAATGCCTTTAATATTTATGTCAATGGATTAGAGAAAGAATTGACTTTTCCAATACCAGAGTCATGAGTCACACAGTGTTCTAAATAAGGGAATAAAACTTAAATAGGCTGATGCTTGTGTCAGAAACATTTGTTCTGCAATTTCTGGGATTATTTTATTTAACTAATAAATGTCATTAAAGTCATGTTGTGGCCATATTTGATTCAGGGACTTGAAAAAATGAATGCAATCAGAATGTTTAATATTCATGAGTCCAAAAAGAAGTGGCTTATAATTGAATTTACACCTTGAACATGTAAGTAATCAAAATGAACCATCTTCCAAAAATTTCCTATACGTACTAATTTCTGTAGACAAGAACAACTTGAGTGTCCTTATTTACTTAGTTCCTTCAAGTGTGATTAGCACTTCACATCCAAAAACAACTTAGCTCAGAAGAGTGCATCCAGCTCTGCCCTTGCCTCCTGCTATTATCCTAAGCCACTTACTAAAAGGACTCAGTTTCCTGAAGTGCTAATGTTAAGGAGTTGTGCTAAACAAACTTGGAGGTCTCCCATAGCTCTGAAACCTGTGAAAGAAATTCAAAAGCATGTAGGTACATTATCTTCATTGTGCTTTCAAAGTATTTATTTTCAAAGTATTTCTTTTCCATGAAAAACAAAAAATATTTCAACAAAAACTAAAACTTTAATGGGAAAGACTTTATAAAATGTATTTTACCAGCAAAAGTGTATGTGAGGATAAACAAACAAACGGTACTGTACTATCAGTCAGAACAGAGCTGGGTGTTTCAGGATAGGAATGTGTTGCTGTTGCCTTCACACAGTTGAAGACCAATGCTGACAACAGATGCAGAAGTCTCTGTTAATCAGCTAAAGTGGTGCCGCCATGTGGCAATAGCAAAAAAAACCCATTTGAAATAGTAATACTTTGAAAGTTTCAATTTAAAAGTTCATCTTGCACATTTTGTTAATACATTGTGTGATCTTAAAGTTACACAACATTTGTCCCTCCTCCATCACTGGCAACATTGGTAAAAAGGTTTCATACAAGAGTCACCTTTCCTAACAAAACATTCCTCAGGACCTTGAGAGAGAGAATTAATTAAGATTAGCTATAATTGAGTTAGTGATATTTCATGATGTCTATAGTTCACCAAGTAAAAGAACCATCTTGATTTAACTGTCAGTTATCAGTTTAAAGGGGGCCTTTCAAGATAGCAAACCTAACATATCTGAATAACCCCTGATACAATTCCCATCTGTAGTATTGTCATATCCTGAGAAGAATACTAGGATCTAAGGAAAGTTGTGTTTTTCTTTGGAGGATTCTAATGCTAGATTTAAACTCTTTGGTTTATGATCTCTTTAAGAAAGCTCCATAAAAAGCCAAGCATGCATCATGGAAATGTTTATAGTTAATTTATGAAAGCTACAAAGATAAACACTAAACTCTACAAACAGAAGTTAGCTCACTTCCCTAAGATGTTTCTGTGTAGCTAGTCAATATGTCTACTAACTCAAGAAATATACGAAAATACAGTAAATTTACAAATATTAGCTGTTACTATGGCTATTATTTTTGCAAATCCACGTATCTAGATAAACATGGCAGTAACAATTAATGACAGTAATAACAATAATAGCTAAATTTTTTCAATAGCTTAACTTATGCCAAGTATTTAAGTATTTTGTGTTATTTAGTTATAACAATAATCACCATAAG